TGTCATTTGTTTGTTTACCTGCCCAAATTTCTGACCCATACATTAAATTGGGTGTAACCAACTGATCAAATAATTTTAAACACAATGAAGTTGAAATCATTCTATGACTCAGTATAGTTTGTCTAATGGCAAATAATGTCTTCATTGCTTTATTTTTTAGCATACAATGGTTTGTTTTAAATTTTCCATTCGGAGTGAATATCATACCCAAATAACAGAACTCCTTGACTGGTGTTATGTTTTTGCCATCTATAATAAAAGTTTGGTTTTCTTAACATTCACATCAAGATTCCAGGTTTTACAATAGTCTGCTAATTTATTCAGACAATTTTGTAAGCGGGATTGTGAAGTAATGGGTCTGGTTTTTGTCATTGTCTGCTTGGTTATGGTCAGGTGGAGGTGTTTTGCTTGGTTTTAGAGTGTGACTTTTTTGGATTGTATATACTAAGTCGTTCATGAGTAACTAACAAGAATTGTAAATATCTGGTATCGAAATCCTTGAATATTGTGTAAATCTATTAATAATCTGGTATGTTTTAAATGTTTAACGTTTCTGTATTCCTTGATTTCTTATTGCTGATCCTGTCTATTATACATTCCATAATGTTATTATGCCATAATCTATATTTGAACATTGTGTTAGTCGATTGTTACTCATAATCATAGAATTACTGGACTCATTGCCTATTTTCCTCGACTCATATTCATCTGAACAAACAATATTTACTTTCTTCAAGCCGAGAATATGTGAAATTCAGTTCATAATCTGTGTTACGGAGATGTCATATATTGTGTTTTACAAACCCATATATAGATAACATGTAATTATAAAAATGGCTTCACTTTATTTATTACCATTACATCAATCATGACATCGAAGAATAAATGTAACCTTTAATGAAACTAAGTTCAAGACTCCGGAGTGAAATGCCAAAATTATTACATAAGCATATGATTTATTTTCTTAGTTATTTCCCCACTCGTTTTTATCATGTTTGTGCGAGAAAGTGTCTGCAGGTATTTTTTTATTTAAATGACCATAACATAAAACAATGCCAATGAATTGGGTCAAAATGCACCATGGCAATACAAGTTGTGCATCAAATGCCAAGAAAACTCAACTTTCGAAAGGATCATTTGTCCATTCAATTGCATATTGTATGTATGTACTGCACGTGGTACCGATAGGCAAACGAGAAATCGGCGTTTAAACAATGAGAAACGAATGGTATTATTATCTTAAACCCTAACCGAATTACTGGTAATTTGATTACTTAGTATTTGGGTCAGACGCAACTCGTCAATAATTAATTTTCGTTGCTAACTTGAGAAATTCAAGATCAGTGCTATGATGAGTTGATGATGTAATAATTCTGACACATTTTATAACCGTTTGTTAATCGACATATTCAACACGATTTGAATTAGTAGGCCAATTGTGTGCGACGTGTGTGAAATGTTTTGCCTACATTTACATCTAAATTTCCCTCAAAATTCACGCAAATTATGGCCATCACATATTCTCTATTTATTGGCGCGAATATAGTCACCGTGATTTAGATTCACTCATTCTCAATCACTACAATGCAGTATCAAGTCCGTCATATATTGCACTCACGAGTGATGACCCACTGCAGACAATATTTGATCTGATTAAAGATATTAATAAGTTATCAACAGACCTATAAGACATGGATTCTTTCAAGATGAGCAGAATGATTCGTTCAATTCTTGATATGATTTAATTATATACTTTGCATGGTACAGCTGTCATGTATACATTTGTCTTTACAAAAATACACGATGTTTGAATTTGTTTCTTGTTAATTAGTCTGTTCAAAAATGAAAGCTGTTTGGATGAAACGTTATATGCTTGTAGTTTTTCATCTTACATTCAGGTTCAATTTGACACTCTTATCGATAATTTGCAACATTTGCAATGAAGCTGATGAATAAATCCACCACTGCTAGACAAGTGAGGATACTGCAAAGCATCAACATCATGTTTGTCTGAAAAGAACGATCTGGACCTGTCATCACTGTACAACGCAGTCGTGGTTAAATCCAACAAAAGTAAATGAATGATATTGAAATTAATTAGGGCGACCGAGGAAAGCCTCAACTACGTATATTCGTTGTTATCCCTTTATCTATGTTTAATTTTCTGTAAAAAAAGTTACGTTTTCATTCTTAATATCCATTTTGATTTCAAATTTCACTTTACATACAGTTTAAAATGTATTACATATTGTAATGTGCTTACAATTACATTTCCAAATTACAATTCAACCTTCATTTGGAACATTACCTCATCCCATGACCAACGAGCAATGTAGCAATAACATAACGCGTTCTGTGGAGATGATATATTGTCGTTAGTAACGTTACGGCATAACTTATATGGTGTTAATATATCCCTATGTTGGTATCAATCCACGTTAAATCGTTTTGCAGCGAGGTTTGCATGTGACCTGAAAATACGAAACCAATATACCATATATCATTCCTGGAACTTGGGGTGTGGGATTCTATTAGTCCACAAGCATGTATTATGGTACAAAATGTTATCATATGAACAATCAAAATCAACACAATTATGTGATAAGACTTGCCTTGAAATCATCGCACAATTTGGTGAAAATTACTTCAACTACCGCAACTTCAGCAAATTCAAAAAAGTTATTTCATATTTTAATCAATTTATGTAATTATAGTAACAATGCAAATTTCTATATTCAATAAATAATAACAATATTCTGCAATCAGCGTTGGAGACAATAGCTTGTTAGACGTGCCATACCTCGTACGAACAGTTGCTAAACAAGACTAATCAATATTTTGTTTTAACTATTACAATATTATACACACTTGGTAATTGAAATAGCCTGTTCTCATTTGTTGGTCAATACGTGAAGTTTGGGTCAGTAAATGATAGCTGGGCAATGTTTAAAATCAATACATGCTCTAAACATTGCATCCTTCATTAATGCCATTCATGCTTTAAATGGAGGCGTCATATTAACCATTGGTGGAAATATTAATTCTTATATTTCTAGATACATTTTCGATATTGTTGTTAATTAATAGCTAATTTTTCTTCTTCTTTGAGATATAGAAGAAAACAATGCAAAATGTGCTTGTTATACCGAGTTAATTTAATATTTGCTTTGTATTAAAAGACGAATATAATTAAGCAGCATTATTACTTTAGGCAGATTGGCTGTCACGTTTTTATGAGTTCATATTTAATATCATGATGATTGTCTAATTATGTCTCATGTTCCATTACCTTCTATTGTGACATGCTCAATGGCTCACTGTCTTTTGGATTAATCATATTCACTTATATGTGACACTGTGACACGCAGCTCAAACTGGTGATAAACCGTGGAGTTTTGTATGTGGTCAGTTCAAGCATGTTTTAAATAATATGTATGTCACATTGTATGTAACCAGCTATATCATTGTTTCTTTTTTATAAATTTCAATCGCTATGTGATAAATCAGTTTTTGTCTCACTCTCTTCGATTTGATTGACTGATTATCATTTGCATGTATCTGCTAATGTATGATCAGGATTATAGTTTATAACATTTTAAAACCATTTTTGCAAAATACGGTAATAGTGGGACTGTCACGGGGTAGGCTAGCATCCGACCACAAAGTGATAAGAGGCACGCCTTCACCTCGTGTTGTGGGTTCTTTGACACCCTACTGATTGAAACATCGAAAATAAGCCAGCTAATGCCTGGATTGTTCCCTGTACAACTTATTGTAAGCAGTGAACTAGGGACACGACGAAAGTTATGAAAATAATATCTATTTGAATATAACAAGCGAAAATAATAAACTGTACAAATAGATTTAATATTCGGGCATATACATTATACGTAGACTAGACAATCATGAGATCACACGGGGAACATTCAATATCAGTGAGACACGTATAAACACCAGGCGAATATCAGTACGCGCACAGTGATTCGAAATTGGCCAATCAAGTCACTCGATACAGATGACAGGAACACAATATGCCTCGGAATAAAGAACTATAGAACGACTCATAAATGTGATTAAATACACTGTAATTGCAGGGCTGTTTGTCACTCATAAGACAGCTGTGATTTCTGACTAAAGTCAAGATATACTCATAATGGGGTCTGTTTCTCCGGAAATTGGGATATTAAAGGACGTATTCAGCCCGGAAAATGAGGGAAACATAAATGCCTCGGACGAAAAGCTGGTACATCTAGTTGAAGAAGGGAATGTTGAACAAGTTGAAGCTTTTATTAAGGTATGGAAACAATCTATAATTATAAAAAATAATTCTTTAGTCAGCTTATTAACCTAATGTCATGTATACAGAGACTGAAACATGTACACTTACAGTTAGACAACCAGTATAACTCCATTTCATGTGTGAAATGGACAAGCCGTACAATCTGCGTAGCAGTGAGAAATCAATCTCCATTCATATAAGGTCGATAGTAGTCATTATCATTCATCTGTTTCGCCGCGTATATTGATTTACTTGACAAGGTTATTACATACAATATACGTTAATACGTTGGAGCATCACAATAATTTCTAAGCATATTGTGACTGAACAATGACTTGTCATTCTCGGTATTGTGTTGTCTATGTAGTTTGATAGATTGACTTTATGGCCCTGCATATTATCTGTATGTCGTTTAAAAATATTAAAAGATACCCTACACAGCTACACAATTGTTTATGCATTATTTATCCCACCAGCAGTCGTCAATGACAATACACGATATTAATGTTTTATATATTTAGAATTTTCATTTTTAAAATTTACCAGTACTAATTCCACACACAGTATGGAAATTATATTATTCACCAATAATACAAGACTGTAGAACTATAATAAAGCGCTTGTTGATCTAACCACATGTGTATTTTCATGAATTAATTGACAGGAGGCGAGAGATTTGGATCTAAATCTGGGCATAATAAAAAACAGTATCTCTACAACTGGCTTACTACAGGCAGCAAAACAAGATCATTTTCTAATGATCAAGTTACTGCTGGACCACGGAGCAAAGTTGTTAAAAATTGATACAATTACTAGTAAGTGTTTTATATAAAAAGTAAATTTATGAGTGAATTCATTTGACATAATCTGTTACACGAAATGCGCAGCAGGAAATAATTTTTACTGTTTTCTTTCAGATAAAGAAATGAGAAGAGAATTGAACTTCTCTCTACAGATGACTAATTTTTACCATGGTCTATCCAGTCCGTCGTACATATCACTTACAAGTGATGACCCTCTACGCACTACATTACAACTGATTGGTGAGATTCATAAATTGTCGGACGGAATGTTTGATAATGAATATTTTAGGGTGAGTAATTCTTCATTGTTTTAATATATATTACAAATATATTGTGGAAGAAAATCGATCAAACATATACGTATGATCATAGGAATAAATCAGTAATACTCAATGATTGAAGGTCGAGTAGCCTGACGTGTTCACGTGACACACACTCTTCAGGTAGTAACAGTTTGTAATCTATGGGTGCAAAAATTGAAAATTTCAGGGTGAATATAATGTTATATTAGAGAAGCTGGAAAATTTTGCTGTTGAACTCCTGAGTAAATGTACTACAAATGAAGAGGTGTTGTTACTTTTACACGGAAAGCCAAATCCAGCCAATGCTGAACCGCCACAAAACAAATTGCTTATGTTAGAAAAGGCCATAGAAGTCCGGGCGAAAAAGGTGATTTTTCATTGACATTTTACAAATTGATTTGTCTATTATTTTGTATATTAGTAGTTGTTAAACTAGTGAAGTAGTGGATATAGTTCATTTTATACCAAGCGAGTAGAACATGTTTTTTAATTAGATATCAGTGTCGAGTTACATTAGAAACTGAATTTCTGAATACTTAACATGTATCTAATACCCGACAACAGAACAAACTGCTGAAAATAAGATTTTAGTTATGCTCAACGTGATACTTTATTGGTCGATTTATGTTGCGTTTTAAATTACAGTTTGTAGCAGATTCCAGGTGTCAACATGTGCTAGCGAGTATATGGTATCAAGGTTATGAAGTGTTCAGAAGTTATAGTCTGACATTACTCTACGCACTTCTGGTTTACGGATTGTTACAACCAGTAACTGCCGTATTGTATCTCATCTTGCCGTCAACTAGATTCAGCAAATCTTTGAAGAACCTGAGTACAATGATAATGATGCATTTTTTCGCACAAGTGGGATACATCATTTTATATTTATGCATCATAAATAAGGTGTTATCTTCTGACATGACATCACTACTTGTCAATGGTCCATTGTGGGTATTAGTGTGTGTAATGTACATGCTTTATGGAGTGGGTATGACCCTAAAGCTGATCACAGACATGAAGTTAAGGGGTATTTTGAATGTTTTAACAAACATGTATGGTGGCACTAATATGGCTGTTGTTGTGTGTATATATGATGTACAGATTCTATTATATCTAGTCTGTTTATGCTTTGAAGGTGATTCCGAAGAAGCTGCTATTGTCAATGCGTTATTCCGTTGTATGTGTTGCACGGGTCTATTGAATTCTTGTGCGCAATTGCTTGAGTTTATGCTTTTGAATTCTGCAATAGGCCCAATGCTTATTGGACTAAAATGTGTAATCAAAGATTCTATTCGCTTTCTTGTGGTCTTCTTTGTATTTCAAATTTCTTGCTCTCTTTCACTGCATTATCTCTACTATGACGGGAATCTTGGAGGATTTTCTGAAAGGTAATTAATTCCGTATGTGTTTCATTGTTTAATTAATTGAGTCACTGTTATTGAAAATGTCCATCAATGTAGATTTTATTGTTACAATTTGTTTCAGTTTGTTATCAACCTGTTGGAGCTTACTTTGGTCGCTTTTTGGTATCCATGAATTCAGTAGAATAAATTCGGGGGAGTCACTGACACTTGGATGTTCGCTCAATAAGACAGATTCTTCAACACATAACAGCGATGATACACAGTGTCGCTTCTATACAACCCAGACTTCTCTGAAAATAGTAGCTTCCTATGGTATGATGATGTATGCCTTGTACTGTGGAGTAGTGATTCTTGGCCTACTTAATATCTATATAGCCATGATGACCAATACATATGCCAAAATCTATGTAAGTACCTGAATGTCTTTATCAACATTCAACAGAATGTGCTGATGCAAAACCGCATATATAAATTCTACAAAGTATATTATATATCTCCAATAAATTATTATAGTCAAATTGAATTATAATAATACCACAGGAAGTTGAATGCGAATTTTAAAAAATTAGATTTATTTTATTGTTTCTACTCTTCTGACTTTTATGATACTACACGATTATCGGCAAACTGTACTATAAAAATACTTTCAGCCACAAGATGCCCGCACCGAACCGCACATGCTACGCATAATTTATAACACCAGGTATTACAAAATCCTAGTACGATCCCCAGGCAACAAAACAAAAACTAATATACGTCTTGAGCGTTATTCGACCTAGTGTTGAGCTCATATAATTTGTGCGGACGGTCGTTTATTACTTGCAGTTATGAAGTAAATTGAATTAGAGGCCACACGTGCATTTACTTAGAGACACTGTTTCGTGAACAGATTATTTTACGAAGGTATTTCTACCCTCGTTTGTTATTCAAGCTGTTCAATCAGGACGTGCATACTGTCGATAAGGTACTTTGCCAATTAAACTATGAAAACTATCGTTGACAATAGTCTAGTTACATAAGTGTAGGAAGAATAAGAATAATCAAAAAATCACATAGGTTATTCCAACACCGTGTGATACTACAGTAGTCATTTAGGCGTTATGTTATAACACTATTTGAAAAAACGATATAGAATCTGAATTATTGTTAGTGTTAGAAATACAGATTTAGTTCGAATAAAATAAAATATAATAATAATAAATGTATTAATTCCTTTAACACCTAAGAGCCTGATGATACACACCTAATGTTCTAGATTATTATAGAGGCATATATTCTTTTATGAAATAACACATAGACGCATGCTAATATACTTCTATTGTTCATAGAATGACAATGATATAGAATGGGTGTATGCGTGCACGAGCGTAACTATGCAGTATTCACAGTATTCACTCGCATTACCACCACCTTACAATGTGTTCGAGTTCATAAAGAACTGTGTTATCCGTAGTTTGCCAATAGAAAAACAGGTAGATATCAACACATTTTCAAATACAAGTCGTAAAAGTTAGTTTTTACGTTACAAACAAATAAACTCACAAGAAGCATTCAAACTCACAGCCGCGGCAATTCGCATTGTTACTTGCTTATATGATACAAGTTACACTTGTTTACAGAAAACCACAAGAATAACAGTCATAGGAGTGAGCGATTATGATAAGGTTAGTCTTTCAGTATGAAGTAAAACCAACTGATATATAATAATTTATTATATGGTTGAATGCACATTTAATTATCATCTCTTAATGCCCCCCTCACAATTTCTACAACTGGTACAATATCATTTTATCATATGTCTATAGAAAGGTTCGACATTCCAAAATGTTACTAAATGAAGTTACAACGTATCTGTCTATGTACTAAGAATGAGTAATGTTGTTTCTGTGTAATTAAATTAATTCTGGCATTAAAGCCAAGCAGAGATACAATTACATTATTATTCAATAATGCTTTATTATTATATTCTGTTGAAAATTCTTTTATAGGTCCTTAGACGAATTATATACGAGTATTTAAAACAGAAGTTTGAAGCGACTGACAACCAAACAAACTTGATAGCATGCAAAACGAAATATTAAAATGTGGAATTGTGTGATGGAATCAAGAAAACTAAATTGAAATCCCACTTCGGGAAAAGGGAATGAAAGTTCGTTTGACATAAATGAATTTATTGTCTGTATCTGTAAACTACAACGAATTTGTGAATTGAATATGAATGTACACCAATCAAGTGGTCGATGTTGTTATTGTTGGTGGTGGTGGTGCTGAATATGAAAAACAAACATTTTCCACTGAAATTATGTGTTTTCTATTAGAATAAAACGTTCACAGAATTATTATATTATTAACAATAAATTAAATGTTCGCATTTAATACATTCAATTGTAGATTAATGATTCCAATTAAAATTAAAATAACGAATTATATTTATACTAGTGAACGAAGCGGAATAACAGTTGGAATCTGTACAGTAGAGTATGAGAACTAGTATAGTACTAGACAAAACATTAATGAAACTGCTACGTTTTAAGTAAAGAGCAAATCATTGATATTATATTGGAGAACAGCGTTATGTTAGTTTCTGCGTTTAGGGTACATATTGGTTTTATAGAATAACAATAAATAACGATACTCAAATTCATACTTGCGAGTGTAAGAACATAAAGCAAACGAAAAATAATCCACAAGTACAACAAAGAACTACAATATTTAAGAAGCTCAATGCAAACAGTCAGGGGGTTTATATGCGCAGCACATAGTTAGATGGATCTCACTGCGGGGATTCTATGACAGTTTAATGAGTTAAAAGCTTGTCATCTGACATGATTACAATTTTATGAGTAAATCATGTCAACTATTCAGAGTAAATGACATCAGACGTTAACGCGAACTGTCGTTTTGTTTGTGTGTATATTCTAATATAATGGAAAGTGTAGAAATGGCAATCACGTATTAGCCATCATTTCAGTCATTGATTTCTATTTCTGTAAAGTGTCGTGTGTGATTGTGATCATAAAACTAACAAAGTCATATAATGTAATATCAAAGAAGGTATTTCTTTAAGCATTAATAGCATTGATATATTGCTCAAATCTGTATGTTTTAATTGTGACAGGGCTCCTATATCAACATATGTAATTCAATATATATTAATATACCCAACATCAATTATATTCAATCAGTAATAATAATAATAATACGAATAATGAAAGTGTGGATGTAATGTGGTCAGAGTCTGGCTGCTGCATTTTGAACAGATTGTAGTTTGTCTAGCTGTAATTGGGGGATATAAATTATAATATTACAGTAGTTTAATCTCGATGTCACAAATGCATGTACTAATTTCATTGTAGCGTTTTATCCAATAGAGTCCGAATTTTACTAAATAAATGCGATAAGGTGCAAAGAAAACTGACTCACAAATCTGATAAAATATAGTGCCCCAAATCACCATCAGTTTCAAAATGGACTCCAAGATTACTTATTACTTAGATATATATTTCATTCACAGTTGATTATCATACTTTTATTTGAGCCAATGCCAATACAAAGCAATTTAATGTATGTATTTATGACAACGAATCAATTGCGTTCGCACAGCTTATTTCTCGTAACGTGCAATTCATGGCATTAAGACTATGTGTGTTTTGACATTGTCTTTGTAATTGTATTTTACGGTGACTTACTAGACTTGTTTGATTTATAATGTATCTATTCTTACTGCTGTCATAATAAATCAGTTAATTTTAGGAAGTGAGTAACTTGCTAAATTTCATACTAGAATCAGGCAACACGATTTGTTTTTCAAACACAGCCATGTCTTATGTGCTCGCCTATTGGAAAGAGTGATAGGCAACACACAATAATATACCATACTGTGCGACAAGGATAAGGTAACTAAAGTGCTGGGCAAGGAGTACGCCCGAGCGTACAGGCTATCAAACAGGAAACGCCACCAAACTACTATAACTCGAACGGGGGAGAAGTCGCATACATTATCGCTCAATTGAATGACTGTGATTGGATTACTGTTTTACAACTTCGAGTCACTCCGAGGGCACCATGACCACAATTATAATATATTCTCTTAGGATACTAGTATAAACCCAATTTCAACAGTTTGAGTGTGATCTGAAGTCAAATTCAGGATGCCCCTACCGAATGATATAGATATGTGATATAATTCAATATACATTTTGGTCGTATGGCAGACATTTAAACTATTCGGTAAATTGAAACATCATTGCTTCCTTATCAATGGGACTCGTGTACTTTGACACTTGTATCTATGTTTCTCATTGCAGATCACATTTTACCTTTTAAATGCGGTAAAAATCATTTTGACTCGCGTGTGATAAGCGCACAATGGGAGTCTTTGTGGCTGTTGTGTCTGTAATGATGTATGTATGTACGTGTGTGTCTGTCTGTTGTACTGATATCTCAAGAACCAAGTATCAGACGGCCTTAGTTTTTGATTGAAATTCATACATATCAATTACCTAATTTGCTTATTAATTAGCCAATTTTAAGTATTTTCCTTTGTTTCTCTTGTTCAATTCTACAGATTTTAATAAAACTTGGAACCTAGGTGCCCTCGGATAATGTGTAGACCTGATTAGTTTTGGGTTGAAATACGTACATATTAATGATCTGTTTTGCATATAAATTAGCCAATGAAAAGCCTTTTTACTTTTTTCTTAAGGACTATTAAACAGAATTCAATGAAAATTAATAGTTAAATGGTTTATAACAATGTGCAAACCTAATTAGTTTGTAATATGTGCATATTAATTGCCCAATTTGCATATTAGTTACCAAATTTTTAGCTTTTCCCGAACATCACTGTAACTTCGCACATAGGTGCTCTGGGGTAAGCCATATACATGTTGAGAGTTAATTATGTGCTTACTAATTCCGAATTTGCATAAATTAACCAATGTATGTAAATATCTTGAGTACCATTGAAAGTAGGTGTTGTTGGATAATCCATGTATATTAATTACCTATCATATAAATGGGTTCATGTGATCTCGTATAAGTGAAATATTGTAATCACTTTTACAGGTAAGGACATGCTACAATACAGGCATTTGATAGGAGATTAGCATCAGATAACGACTAACATATCAGATAACCATTTATGGTCATGTATTCTAATTAATATGCATAACTGTATTCTTTCGACACTACTGCAGATGACATGCATCCAGTGTTATAATAAACGACAAGAGATATGACTAACATACCACATGTTCATATAATATATATAACCTCATTGATATGCATAACTATATCTCAGGCACTTTAGGAATGCGCATTCAGTGTTATATTGAAGCATCATACTAGAGATATGTCAAGTGTATCAGATGACTATATATGTTCATGTGGTCCCAATAATATGCAAATGCATGCAAGTTCTGTTACAAATAGGGACATGCAATTAGTACTAATTGTGTTGTCGGATAAGATATAATAAATATCACATTATCATATGTTGTCATGATTTCATTGATTATTTATAATTGCTCTTGCTATATTGCAGTTATATTTTTAAATGCCGTAATTGTTCTATTAGAGGCACATCTGCTCAAAAATGTGGTCAAAATAATACATACTTCATACTTGATTGTGCAAGCAATAAACACAATATTGCGAGTGTGCTTCTACTATACTAAATACAGTACTTATTATTCGTACTTCATGCCCTCAATACCCGTGGAGATCTTTCTAAGCTTACTTTTATTAGTTTATTTGAAAGCATATGAAGTGAATACTGTTTAACAAAATCAGCAGTTAAGTACATTTTGAAAAATACTGTCCGATGAATTAAGTTATCAAAGCATTTTCTGGATTATTTTGAACGCATATTTTCATCTGCTCAACATAAAATTCGATATCAAAAACTGTTCACAATAAAAAGAACTGCATATGAACTCGGAACGTATAACAAGTATAGTTGGGTCAAAACTTTCTGATAATCAATACATTTAGAACGGGCAACAAAAATAAAGTTGCTTAAAACATGTCAATTGTTGGTATACATTAAATAGTCAATAGAAAACGAAAATGAAGTATGAGTCTGTATGAACAAACTCTTGACATGTATGCTAGAGCAAATCAACAATCAATTACATTAATTTTGATGCGACAGTGACAACTCCATTCAACACGCAGGGAATACGTATTATTGAATTACCTTCTAGAATCAACAAAACAAAGTAGTTAAACACGGCGTTATATCGATCGTATTGTAGAATGAATGTTTTTTTACGTAAATAGCACGAACAATTTCTGATACATTGTAATATCTGTCAACTTATTGATTACAAACTACATGGTCGGCGACGTTATATGATAAATACGTCTCATCAATATAATTTACAATAATAATTACACAACTTTTTGATTTTGTAAAATGTAATATGACACAGCCTCTGAGTCAGTATTGCAATTTGAGTATACAATGAAGAACATAAATTCCAATTATAAATACAAAGTTATCATAGACCACTTTCTCGAATTAAACAGGAAAACGCGCTATCATCTCGTTGGAGTAGATTCTGTGGTGTATCATATTCAACGACTTTGCCGTCACTTAAAACCAATACGTAATTAGAATCCAGAATGGTTGACATGCGGTGCTGGAAATAATAGAATCATCAGAAGTTATTTTTACAAAAACGATAAATGTACAGTAATCAAAACTCCCAGAACCGACCACAGAATAGTGTGATCGTTTCTGTACGTGTTGGAATATTTATCATGAAGACATTCTAGTGTGCTGCGTCGAGAGCATTTCTGTACGAGGTGACTGTATGAACACTTGTCATACAGACACGCCTAGTGTGCATAAACTGTGGTTGACGGATCACATACTAATTTTACGAAGTACATCGAATGAAGGTAATTAACATATACAAAACACTATTGATAACTTGTGTATATACGCATCTCAAGACTCCATCTACATGCGATGTACACGCTATTCTGTTCATTGTTGTATTAATAATATAAGCATTACCTAATGAAGGTAATGATGCAAATAAGCGTAAATTGAATAAGTATGTAACTGAGATCGAGGTCGGACTTCATTATTCTTTTCATTATTCGCTAATTTTCATAAACGGGTGAATTTGGGCTTGTTGCTGTCCAATTTATCTAAAACCTGTCGTGAATTATATTTAGCTGCATGTTTATGCAAACGTTTCGTACATGTAGACAGAACTTGCCGCCTTACAGGTCCACAAGAATAAAGAAAAGACGGTGGCGTCCCAGCCACCTCCTCCAGACACAAATGAATAAACTCTATGATGTCTGACATATACGTACAGCTATGGTGAGAACAGTAGTATCTTGAAACGACGATGATATCACGTGACTTATTATTGTGTCCTGGAAAGGAATAATACGCATTGTATAACTTATATTATAATAGGTAATACAATGGTCATTTGCGTCACTACATATTTGTTCTAAAGGTAAACATCATATACAACCTATGTACACATTCATATGCCATAAAGAGAATTTAAGTTAGAACAAAACACAATTAACAACAGACTTCTAATAAGCGTGTCACAAATATGTTTGGTTGATTGATTGATTGATTGATTGATTAATTGATTGATTAATCAATTTTGCAACAAATTTGTATTTCAGTTAACCAAACATCTCTCCTGTACTTACTGTTTTTATATCAATAGATGCCGTGGCTTCATCCATGATAACAATCTTGGCGTTCCTGAGAAATGATCTGGCTAGGCAAAACAGCTGACGCTGGCCAACACTGAAATTCTCACCTCCATCGCTAACATGTGAATCTAATAGTGAGAGTCGAACTGTTTAATTATCATAATATATCTGGACACACACATAGAATGTTCAAGATCAGTATTTTCTCAAATTAAATGAAAAAAGTCATTTACAGACTAACCTAATTGACCAGCAAGTTTAAGAACGATATCTTTCAATTGGGCAGCAGACAGAGCATTCCATATTTCCTCGTCACTTCGCTTCTCTTCTGGGTCCATGTTAAATCTATAATGATATTTAGCATACAGTGGTTTTTATTGAGTAATGGGATAATTTTAATTTTCAATAATGTAATGTTTCCACGTGAGATAACATACATACTACAAGACACATACCTTATAGTTCCACTAAACAATACAGGATCCTGTGGGATAATTGATATTTGTCTTCGTAATCTCAGCAGGGGTACATGCGATATATCAACACCGTCTATCAGGATACGACCTACATAGAATACATCAAATTATCTTATTGTAATGTTGGTATATACTCCAATGAATTAAAGATTCACATATACTTGTAAGGATAAACTATCGCACATTGGTTAAGTAACAAATGGATACAAATTAACGATGCTCGCTTCTGTTTGCATGGCAAAATAAGTATAAAAATCTAGAAAAAATGCAGTAATTTATATAAACATTTTGCATGAAAAAGCTGGGTAATATTTAGGTGGCAACAATTCTGATCGCAAAAGGACAAGACAAAAAATTCATCGTAATTACATAATTACAACAACAAAACAACAACGATATACATTTCCCCCATATACCTTGAGCCTCATCAATGATGATAAGGACAAGGCAAACATGAAAACTGAAATTCATACCTTTAAACGTGTCAATAATTCTGAATAATGCCAAGGTGAGCGACGATTTACCACTACCAGTTCGCCCGCATATACCTATCTAATTAAATCACACATATTAGTATGTTTGTCTGCATACATTGTTTAAACTTGATTGGAATAGCATGTAACTGCAATGTTTATAACACAAATACCTTATTGCCTGCTCTAAAGTGAATGCTGATATCTTGTAATACAGGTTCCAATCCAGTAGCATAACGTACTGAAATGTTCTCTATGTTGATATCCCCTCTATCGGGCCAATCTTTTGGTGGGTTGCATATTCCTGTTATTCAAACGCAATACGCGAATAAAGTTTCCATTATAACACATGCATGTACGCGTGTTCTCTACTCAACGGAATTGGCTACACATCAAACTCATTCGATACATGCACATCGAATATTATTCACATCAGTCGTGTCAAACAGCAATACTTCTTCTGCCATTTTTAAATGTAATAGATTTATATTGTTTCAAAATTTACTAGAAATACTAAGTTGAATTATAGTGTTATGCATATGAAAATGGTTGCTATGACTATACAAGAACCATATATATACAGTCAATACCTATCATGCCACGTACACATACGCATACACATTAATAACAGTGATATGCACGAAACTAATAATATATCCGGAAACAATTTACTAAATCCTCATTATCACAAACATCAAACAATAGAGTCGATGGTGTCAAATAAATACTTTATACTACTTATTTAAAATAGTTATGACAAAATAAAAGTAAGCATATCTATTGCATATTAAGTTCATTTCAGTAATTTTGAGCAAGCAGGGAAACAGACATTGTGAATTTTCAACATACCGTTATACTGTTCAACCTCAATGTTCGTATAATGTTTAACTCGTTCAACTGCATTCATTTGCATTTCAATATCTACCGCATTCCGTATTATCCACGTCATATATCCTGATATCTGAATAAACGAGAGATAAATGTTTTTGTTGTAGTTAGCCATTATACCAAAATAATTGGATACGCTCATTATTATGCATATACTACCATGGACAAATTGGGGCAATCTATAATGGCTATTTGGTTTCGATCACTATACCAGATTATACATTCCACAAATGTTTTTTATGTGCCTACCAATATAATAGGTTCACGCGTTATCTTAACTCGGATGTGACACAATATATCCATGTACCGGAATAACAGTATACACACATACATTTATGTACTCATTCATTGTGGACTCACATCAGGCTGGTTAGTCAAAAAAATGAACTACTAAGGCTGTACAGTTAAATGGAACAATATGAATATGAAGCAGTATAAAATTTGACTTAAAGCACATGCTTAACTTAGGTTCTAGACGCAACAAAAAAACAAGAGAATCAAATGAAAAAAAAAAGATTGTGACTGAATTGTTAATAACTATTACGGCTCACTGAAATTGCGTAGGTCAAAGAAAGACCAACTAGACTCGGTTCAAGGCCAGTTGCAACTGAGGATACCAATCCAGACAATCCTGATATAAGAATAATAACAGCAGCCAAGAATTCCTGAAACAAATATGAACCAGAATTACACGTGATTTTAAACAAAAGAGCAGCGACGTATGTAAGGAAGTATGAAACAATAAATACTTTTCTTCAAATATAAAAAAACGTTCACTGAGTTCTGGAATGCGTGTTCACAAAAGTAAACATACGACAATGAATGATATTTCTCGGTGAACTAGTACACGTGATATGTATCAAATAACCAAACATGCAATATGTTGATATATATTTAAGTAAAAATTATACTTATAAGTTAAGTACGCGAATCGTTAATTGTGGCATGGGTCTCATTATATATACATTTGTGTGCCAAGCGAACGAAACGTAAAACACTCCAAGTCGTGTAATTTAATATATTAATGTCAAATACTTTAGGTCAGTATATGTGTAGACATATGTCGATAAGCTCACCAGTCGGATTCCCAGCCACCTATTGCCGGTATGTAGATACAACTGTGCAACATTGTTAAAATCCACTGTTCGAAGTAAACGTCTTTTGAAAGCACTTTCTTTTCTGAAATATTTAAATATGTATTAATGATTGTTAATTTACTAGTTACTGTGATAACTTATTATTGGAATGACAAGCTCTAAACTATATAATCCATGGTTATCTCATTCATTTCAAGGCGACGACATTGTAGAGTACGTCATGAATGTTTAATCCTGATAAGTCAATGCATACCTATAAGCTCTAATAGTTGACAAACCTCCCAGTGATTCTGAGTAATGGGCAAACACAGGTGACCGTGTTATGCTATCAAGGCGCTGAATTTCTCTAAAATGAAAAACATAATTACTTGTATTATTTCACATGAATGAACAATATAGAAAATAGACAAAACAACTAAGTTGTATTAAATTATTCAAACGTTACTGGCGATCTGGGTATTTATGTGTTAATTAAATATTACTAGGTAATTAACAAACCTTGAGGTGGTAATGTAATATCTTTGCAAGAAGATATACACAATCAACACAGGTGTCACAAACGCAATAAAGATCGGAGTCACAATACTATTCACAACTAAGGCTGAAACCACTTGTAAGAACGAGTTCATAAAAGAGTTCATGGTAAGCCAAATTTTCTAGAAATATACAAATAATGCACAGCAATTTGATAAATAACAATTTCATGTAATCTTTATGTAATTTGTAACTTATTCATTTAGAACAGTACATCCATAAATATAGATATAGAATTTAACATAGAATTAAACAATCCACTGCAAAAATGACGAGAACACAATAAAGAAATGCATAAATAGGGTATGAAATAAAATGACTACGAAATAATATGATAAAATTACAATAAAAAAATGACAATAACATAGCAATCCGAACAAAACGATAAAATGCTTAAATGGGGTAAAATATTGACAACAAAGTAGTAAGATAAAATTATACAATATTATTAGCAGCTGTAGCTGCTCGATATTTAAAAGAGCGAGTGTGAGATTTTGAAATATGAAATCGATTTCTGGTGTTGTAGGAATGGATGGCAGAGTTTGAAATGAGACGGTCAGATAAATATGGTGGGACTAAATATTGCTTGCATTTGTAAACGAGTTTATTAAAGTGTTTAGTTTTCTTGAATGGTTGGCCAACCAAGAGCTGATCTTGCAATGGAGACAGATTCATGTATTTTTAAGCCACATTGGATGCGTACAGCAAGGTTGGTGATGCGTTGCAGACTACTTTTTAGTGTAATGCTGCAGTTAAATTACAGTGTCACAGTAATCAAGTAGTGAGAATACTGTGGCAGAGATAATGTCCTTGCGAGCTTTCTCAGGAATGCAGCGACGAGATCTTGCGAGGCGTGATAGGCGGAATCCACATGTCCTACGAAGGTAGGCTATATGGTTACACCATTTTAATTCAGGATCTATTCTTAGCCCAATACAAGTTGCAGATGTAGTTGAGTGAATTGTTTGATCTTTTATAATGAGAGTTTTGTAGTTGTTGACGAGTGCCAAACAGCATATACTGATATTTTGATAAGTTGGGTTGAAGTGAATTAGCAGAAAACCACAGTAGAAGGCGGTTACTTTCTTGTTCAATTTCATTGTGAATGCAGTCAAGGTTGGTGTAGTTAGACGATTTGAGGAGATTGAGATCATCGGCGTAGCCATATATTGATGAAGGAGATTGGAGCCAAGTTGGTAGATCATTGATGTAGATGGAAAATAAAACAGGTCCACATACACTACCTTGTGGGACACCAGTCTTGACATCAATGAGCTCGGAGTAATGGCTACCAAGTTTAACACACTGAGTGCGGTCAGAAAGGTAGCTACGAAACCAATGTAAGGTTGTGGGATGGAAATTGTAATGCTTGAGTTTGTGGAGAAGAATTTCACGGTAGACGGAATCAAATGATTTTGACAGGTCTAACATTAGAAGACATGACAGTTTCTTATTGTACATGTTTTCAAGAATGTCATCTGTAAGGTGTTGTAGAAGTGTAGTTGTAGAGTGCTTTGGTCTGAATCCAGAAAAGGTGGGATGGAGAATCTTATTTGCTTCCAGGAATTGAAGTAGTTGTTTGCAGACTAGTTTTTCAAGTACCTTTGATAAGGTTGGAAAAAGTGAGATTGGACGATGGTTCTGGAAATCCTGCTTATCCTTCTTGCCTTGTATAAGTGACTGCTTTGAACACATATATTATTCTGTGAAACTGTATTGTAACGATGAATAATATATACGCTACAACATTAGTAAAATCAATTGTACCTGATCTATAACTTGGGTATCAGCTGAAAGTCTGTTCAGTATCCGACCTGTTGGAGTTGTGTCGAAAAACCTCATTGGTGCATTGACGATATTACGTAATAGCGCAATGTGTAAACGTTTGGCAGCAAATAAAGAAAATATTATATGACAAGATGTGGCTAGCAACGTAGCCATCACGTAGGACATAGTAAGTGAACTGTAACCGGTCAAGTAGTAACTTAATATTTCATCTTGTTCTTTCTGTAAAATATAAAACATGAATATAACATTGATACAGAGTGTCTTATGTTCCAGACATAGTAATGTAATTGCCAATGGAGAAGCATTAGTTTAATTTGAAATGTAAATATTTAGTGGTGTGGATGGTTCGGGTGGATTAATCATGTCAAGGGTAACATATCTGATTTTATGTTGAAAATGTTATAAACAATTTGAATTTCAAACCCCTTAGAGAACAACAACATAACATTGAGGCTTTTTGACCATTTCATGATATGAAATTCCTCGGTTCATATGGTCAGCTGTACAATCCTCCAAATACAAATGAACAGCGTCATGCTCCACGTGGAGTGTATTTTGTAACATGTATCATACTGTCACTCATTTCATACATTATATCTTAGCCACATATCAGATGCACCGCACATACCTTTGTCGCGATGCAGAGGGGAACAATTGTCCAGAGAACACAAATGACCCTAAATTATACTCGTATGACTGAAGTATAACCATCAAAGTTAACAAAATAGTATATTCAACTATGGAATTTCAGATTATTGTGAAAAGAAATTAAGAAATATTCTGAAGTATACCTCTGTTTGGTTGTCTGCATTAACACCAGCTTCAGACCAATCAGACAACCAAAAGTTAGTTAATATCAGTAAAGTGCCTTGTGTTGCAAACAAAGCTAAGATAAGACAAACAATTGGGTATTTGATTGCGTTTGCATAAGCCAGAAACACCGTCACGGACATGGAGCCAGTCTCACGTTCTTCTTTTTCAATTAACTTTTCTCCGCATACTGTAAGTAACATATATAAAATAGCGTAAGGAATACCAATATTGACTGTTATAATAACTTGTGAGTAACGTCAAGATTCCCAGCAAAACATGGGACAATTATGATAAAAAGAAATATCTTTGAAAAGTATTTTTGAAATATCATCCACATCAAAGCAACTTAGTTTGATGATCAGAAGAAATAACTTCTAATTTCTGTAGAAAATCATACATAAAATTAAATGTTATGTATATTCATAATATCAATATAGCTTTAATAAATTCACCAAACAATGAGGTTGATAAGAACAGCTCCCCATAAGAGTTCACTCATGCTTCTAACAAATGATTTTGAACAAGCAGCAACGTGGCGAAATATCTCCTTTATTAGCAACGTACATTTTAATTAGAGAAGTGAGGATATCATCTGTTGGAGATCCGTCTAAGGTACCCATATCAGTAATACCAAAGCAATTGGACTTGTGGTTTTCAACACGAAGTCAAAAATATGACTATTTACCAAAACAAATCTACACCAACTTGAAATATCAAAGCAATCAGACTTACGGTTTTCAAGAAAAACGCGAAAAAGTAAAAAGTTGATGCGGATGACAAACAACAACGAGCACGGACGGACAATCAGTAATATGATATGACGAAGTCAACAGAAGAGCTTGTATACATTTTGTATAAGTGCACAAGAGTTGAATGATACTTACTTTTGTCCGTTTTGGACATGTTGTGTTTCTGTGAGACTTGCTTCTTTAGGTAATCCCGCTCGTCGCCAGTATTTTTCTCAATATCACTTTCCACTTCTGACTCACTTAACATCTTCATTACGCCTTCCCATTCCGAATATAGTGTTGGGTCATGCTGTTGTATTGCTGTTAAATTCCCCTGTATAGCAATTGTGCCCTTATCAACAACGATAACCTGAAAAATATGAATTATGTGTATGTGTGAAAAATCACAACTTAGTTGATAACAATAAATGCTTCACCGTAATAATTATATGTAATGTTCGTTACCTTGCTTGCATATTTCAGATATTGCAACTGGTGGGTTACAAGGACAACAGTGCGTTTTTCTTGTTGAATTAAGAAGTCAATAATTCCATCTTCCATCAAGTGAGATCCTACGTGTACATCTAGAGCTGATAACGGATCATCCTGCAGTGAGTGCAGTAAGTAAATGTATAATAATCGATAGTTATAGAAAATGCACATACCAAGAATGAACAGTTTGAAATTCGATCATGTTCGTTAATACATTGTTATGTGATTAACAAATGCTCTACAATTTCTCTACACATAACAAACATAATTGGCAAACTGTTTAATGCATTTTATATTTTGGGTAAATGGTGACTGCGGTTGCCCTGGTGGACCTACCAATATTAATATATCGGTTTTGCTGTACAGTGCCCTGGATAAACTGACTCGTTGTTTCTGTCCTCCACTGAGGTTAATGCCCTTCTCTCCAATCTCCGTCATATCACCACCAGGTAGAATTTCAATATCAAGCAGCAACGAGCAAGCTTGCAGTACTCTTTGGTACCTTTAAATTTGAAGTAAATGTGTGTTATACCGTGTATTTAGAAAACACATATTGACATGTGGTATTGAAATGATTCAAATGTAAACTATATTTTGGATTTTGAAGAAGCTGTCAAAACACATTGTGGAATACAACTACTATACCTATAAAATACCAGGTGTTTGTCTCAGGAACGAATTGTTAACATTCTTTTAAAGTTGCACTAATTATAATTGTGCCTGTGATAATGAGGCCATTACCCATACGTACCTTGCATAATCAAATGATGAACCAAACAATATATTGTTTCTGAGGGTTGCATTCTGTAACCATGGTTTTTGAGGCACGTAGGATACTGAATTTGTTTTTCTGCGAAATGAAATTAATCAATACAACATTTTCGAACAATTATCTGCAGTCAACACATATAGGAGACTGAATTTAATAGCACTTTGCAGTCTTGTCGTCGGCGTTTGATGTTAGTTTTGGGCAAGTTTGTCATGGGCTATCACTACAATCGCAGTGTTCTTCCTATTCATGCAATACAAATTTCAGCTTCCAATAGTTCCTTGTACAATGTTTTCCTTATGTTTGATAAAACGGCAATAAATGTGTCAGAAGTTTCTTTATTTGAATGAAATATTACCCTAGTTAACATCAGAAAATCACTATGTTTCCCATACTACATTCTTTTCTTTCATGTTCAAATATAAATTATATATGAACTAGGGAATTATTGGGTTAGTTCTACTTGCCTATTAAACTCTACTTTGCCACAAAGAATAGTCATTTCTCCAAGTATTGCCGATATAAGGGATGACTTTCCGCTACCAACTAAACCTATAATCATTGTGAGACCTCCTGAAGTCATAAAAATACAAACATGTATCACATCAATATTTAATATCACATTTATCAGTGCTTTATAATTTTGTATTTCATGACACATATTAAATTTATATTATTTACAACCCATTACAGATACGAATATGAATATAGCGAAAATGCAATACACATTTTAATACCTACGCCAAATGTAGATATGTGTGAACACCATAGAGACTTTTCTACGTAAGTGTTAAAATGCTATAAATATACCGACAAATACCTGCGACGAATACTCATTGTTAGAACAGTTGTCAAGTAACATTCGAATTATTGTATGTATATGGTAGTGTATATTAATTTACCTTTTGGGATTTCAGTGGTTATATTATGTAATGTGGGTGTCTCAGATTCTCCCTCCCAAGAGAATGATGCACCTGTAACCTGGACAATTGATATAAGCAGTGTCTTACAAATATCTACACGTCTACACGACCATAACATAATACTTTATCACTCAGCCATCTTGGCAACCATTATTTGACATAAATTGTTATCATAAAGAATACTTGTTAGACTAATATG